GTCCCACACATTTCAAAATAAATTTGCTTCAGTCAAAAACTAATCTATTCGTGTGTTACTTTTGATGACTTGTTTTACAAATTCGAATTTAAGATTCTACAATGAGGAACACTTTAGCTACGGTCAGATATGCGGATAATTTGTACATTCGCGCACAAGATTCGACAACTTATTTGCTCGTCTGAACATAGTTTGTTATGTGACGAGCTTGTATGCAAATAATTGTATCTTGTCAGTTCAGTTTTGAGTAGCTGTTGAAAAAAGCGAGGGTACATATTTAAATATTTCTCTAGCAATCAATCTTTTATTCAATGCTACTACAACAAAATCTACTTGCCATCAGTACTGTGGTATATATATATATATATATATATATATATATCTATGAATATGTATAGATGCGCATTGATTACATATATAACACGGTTGACAAACCGCAACTCAGTTAATGTACATAATTCTGTATATTTACGAGTCAGTGCTTAATGATGCAGCAATACAGCGGCATACTTATGGATACTCACTCGCATGTATCTGTCAGGTTGGCAGGCAAGAGTCAATTATAAAAATTATTTATTGATAACGCAATTTAATGCCAATTATTTGTACATAAATATTTATTTAATCGTCGATTGCATGTCGCTGCAAATTAAAAATTATTGTGGGTGTGTGAGCTGATTAATGACAGACAAGAATGAAATGCTAGAGTCGAGTGGGCTCAACTCTTAAATACTCTATAACACAAAAAATAAAAAAAGTTTTCATTTAATTTTTTAAATTCAAATTTATATTATTTTTTCATAATTATACCTGATTTTTTTTTTCTTTTGATAGTATACATTTATTTGGCTGGTACGGGACGGTATTGCGTCTCGCTATGTTTTCCTGCCAGGCAGGGAGCTTTGATTTAAGTAAATAGTTTTAAAATTGCAGAAGGTCTGGAACAATGTTACCTTTTTCGGACTTGAGAGAATCTGCTCTTAAGCTTTCTGAGATCCTTTCATTCAGACAGACAGATGAACAAGTATTTGCCTCGTCAACTTTTGTTTGTTACATACATTCGCACTAAACTAGTGTATCCTTCCACCTCATATAGGGTATACAAATTTTATATATATATTTATGATGTTTATCTTTTTACTTCAGGCCTGCTGGTATGAACAATTTAAAATCTGTTGGCAAAACAAATCATTACAATTTATAGTTTCAATTTAACCCTTTAGAACAAGTGAAATTTTGTTTGCCAACCCCCCCAAGATTGTGACTTTGTTTGCACAAAAATTGTAAGCCCAACAATTTTGTGAAATGTGCAGGCGTCAAAATTTTATGGCATTATTGTGCACTTATCGGCTGAATTAACACGAAGACAAGTTTTCCTAAGGGTTGGTTCACTTAAATGGCTCTCCAAGTCTGATTTCGGGGTTGGTTTGACCGCAAACTCTGTTGCTGGGGGCGTTTTGGATTGGGATTGGAATGAATGAATGAAAAAAAAAAAAAACACAACATATGTGACATTTTATTTTATTTGTTTGGTTTCTGTTTGCCAAATTGCTTGGGCTGGCAAATTTAATGCCTGATTAGCGTTGCGCTAATATGCCGGAAATTTCTGTTAAATGGGACACTTACCAGCCAAACACCCTTCAACGGCCAAGTGCTGGCCCCCTCCCTGAACCTATTTTCCTTTCAAAACACAACGTCAATGTCGTTAGTATAACGAATTTCTAACTTAATTGCATATTTACGTAACCATTTCCCCAAAATCAAAATGAAATCAGGCAAACAAACGTCGTGTCCAACAAAAGGCAACGGACTCTTACTACTCCCCACCTCCTTCCTTCACAGTCTCCAATATTAACTGTGCCTTCACCAAACCCCCCACGGCCCCAAACTCCAGTCATTTATGTCATTTTGTTGTTTTTGCTGTTCTATTTGTTTGCTGTTTGTTATATAACGTAAACTATTTTAGAACAACACAAATCATAGTGAAGCCCTGGCCAGTTGCCAGGTCAGGTCTCATATAGTTCTCTGGCACAGTGGTCTCAAATATGTACAACAAATGTGATTCAATAAAAGTGCTTTCACTGTTATGTGAGTTAACAGAAGCGGGATAATTTGAGTGTATAATAGATCAACATTTTCAGGAAACGTTTCAAAACATATTTCTTCAAATCAGTAGCAAATAGGTTACCCCAATCATTTGAATGGTAGTTGTCAGAGGAGCCAGAATCGAAAAGGCTTGAAAACTTCAGGGCTTATCAGAAGTTCTTCCCGTTCTTCAAGTGAATTATATTTTAGGGATTTTACTTAACCGAGAGAAATAGTCACATACATTATTCTAATATTACAAATTTCCTAATATCTTCTCTTCTCCTTTGGAAAATATGAAACCACTGTGTCTTGGTTGGTTTACGTGGCGTATGCCTCAGTTGGTAAACGTTGGTTAAATGCACGTGGATGAGTAGATAAATATCGTATAATGAAAATGAAATAGGAAAGAGGTAACGGCAGCAACAAGAACAACAAACAGATGGACCAGTCAGCCTGCTGCAGTCGTCGCACTAATTTCGAGTGAGTTTCGGGTTTGAGTTTCGGGTTACGGGTCGTCGGGTCGCTTGAGTACGTGGCCAACGAAAATATACTTTAGCACGTTTCTTGTTAGCAAGCAGTTTTCTGGGCTTGGACATTGCATGATGATGTACATACCCGTACTCGTATATATACGTATATACATATAATAAATACGTGAATTGTTTTGGTTGGACTATTTGGACTAGAGTTTCTTGTGCCAGCTGCAAAGTTTATTTATTTTGGCAGGGGCGAGCAGTTCAAATTAAGTCATAGACGACAACGACAACGACTGGCGAATGGGAACAAAGAGTTCATAATGAGCATGTGAGGAAGGGTAAAAGTAATAGAACCTAAGAGAGAATTATGCACAAAATCTATAAACAAATTGTAAAATATTGACTTTATTTAAATCAATATAACTAACAAGATAACAAAATTATTATTCATGGGAAAGGAAGAAAAGCAGTGAGAAGGGAGACTCCTATGAAGAGTAAATAGGAACAAAAGAACAGCTTCTAGAGAGATATCAACAACTAAATGGATTGTTTTAAAAAATCTATATTGTGCTTACATATTTTTGAATTTCAATAAAAATTGTCAAATTGTTCTTAATTTAAGTAAATAATGAAAAAAACATATAAAGGAAACCATAAGAGATAACTCTGCTCGTTCTACCAAATTGTAAAAATCTTTAAAGTTTCAACGAAAAAGAAGTTTCAAAACTTTCATTACTTTCAAATCAGTGTTAAATGAGAGACAGTATGAGTTTTATGTATTTATTATACCGTTTATTATCAAATAAATTGACAAATTTAAACAAAAAAATAATTAGAATTCAAATACATTCACATACCAAATATTCTAAATAAAGTTGGTCCAGCCGCAACACAAATTTCTTGAGTAGATTGGATCATCGACTCTTTTCGAGCTATTACCAAGTTATTCAAGGCTTGAAGGCCCAAGAACCTTACGTTATATCAGATGACGATCACACACAACATCGTTTGTTTCTGGTCCAATAAAGCGATTTTGGAATAACTTTACGGAATTTAATTTTCTGATTTCTATTTCACAAAGAACGCAGCTAGGAAAATTAAAAGTAAGCTCAATGTTTTCAATTTTAAACTACGATTAAAAATGATGCATTTTTAAATAATGAAAATATATTTACATACAAGATATTTTATTGCACTAAAAAGAACGTAAAATATTATCATATAGTATCGCCCTGTACTTCTTGTTTAACATGTGCAACTATTTTTATTTACTGACAAGCCCTAGTATAAACAATATTTATTGTTTCGGATCAATATATAAGATATTGTCACCCGTAATACTTATTTACGATATGCAACACTGGGAGGCAGAACCAAATAATAATAATGCACAGCTTTTATTGACCGTCTAAATCGCCCACTTAGTTATCTATCAAGGCAGTCAATTGATGACCAAATGACAGGCAATAAAACGCTTACGATAAAAAAATCATATACATATGTATACATAGTATACATATAGACGTATGTGTGTAATGTGAAAAAGTGTGTGTAGCATTATAAAAAATGCATTATATGGACATTTACGAACAGTAAGTTGGCGACAATATTACAAAAACCAATGCGAATACTTTTGTTGTCCTTGCCCCCATTCTCGTTTTCGTTTTCATTTTCTCGACTTTGCGGCCGTCTAACGATGAAAAGAATCATTTATAGTGTCATAGCGACACCGATTTGAGTGACAATAACAATTGAATATCAATAAGCTGTGCAGGAGAGCAGCAGTGGCAGTGGCAAGGATTATCGATTTTGTGCCTTAAAGTTGTCCAACTCAGACAAACTGCCTTAATTGCTGGCCTAATGATGTGCAAGGCTGTTCCCAGTTGATTATGACGGGTTTTTTTTTGTTGGGCCTTGTTTTTTTTTCCTTTTGAGAGCATTTTATGAGGAAGGAAGAGGTAAAGCGTTGAGCGTTTGAACTCGACACTCCATAATGATGGCAATTATAGCTCGTTTTTCCAACAATTTATATGAAATTTTCAGTTGGGCCAACGCCACGCCTATCAACGACATTTTTCCACCGCTTGGCAACGCCCCAAACGCGCCATCTCGCTCTGGCGAGCATAGGTGTGAGCGAGTTGGCGAACGCAGAGCGCGTGCCTCCATCTTGAAATGGCGTTGCGAGAGAGAGCGAGAGCGTGCCTGCGTGAGCAAGTCACCGTTATCAGCAATATAAACGAGTTTGTTTCGGTGGTGGTGGTGGTGGTGGTATTGGCAGTGCTGTCGCTGCCACTGTCACTGCTACGGCTGGTGCTGGTGGTGGTTTGGGCAACTATCGCACTGGTATATGAAACTGTCACGGGCCGTTAACGAGTCAGTCGTTTATCAGCGCTCGTCGCGTCAGCATCGCCACTCGCATGTCAAGGCAGAGTTTTTAAGAAAACATACACATACGAGCATATACGCGCGCGCTTTTATGCGTCGGCAGTGTGCAAAAGTGTCGTCTAAAGATTAGTAAATAAATAATAATAATAACAATAAAGAAAAGCCAGAGAATTGCGAACCAAAACAAATCAGAAACAAACAAGTGTGCAGACAAGTGTTGACAAAAAGCATGTCCAGTGCACAAGTGTCGCAACCGCCGCCCACAACGTTGCCCAGCGGTGTGCCGCACCAGCAGCAGCAACAACAACAGCAACATATTAGTCACTTGCTAAGCCACATAGCCGCTGCTCAGCAACAACAGCAACAACAGCAACAACAACAACAGGAACAGCTGGACTATCAGCACGATAACAACAGCAATAATTCCGAATTGTCGCCACGCTCGAGTCCCATCGCCACCGCTGTCGCAGGTGGTGCACGCACTCCCAGTCCCACACATTCCTCAGCCACCACTGGCTCACCCTTCAGCGCCTACGCCTCCAATCACAGTCCTACGGTACAGGACGCAGCACACGAATCACCGCCAAAAAGCACCACAGTGCCCAATACACCTGTTATGCCGCTGCTGGTCGCACCCATACCCGTAGCTGGTGCCCCTCAACGTCTGGCCTGCTACTCACCCACACACATTGCCGTTTCGCAGTCGGCTCCAGTTTTGCCAGCCCAGCAAGGGGTGGTACCACCGCCACAAGGGGTAGCACCACCGCCTCCACATGCCCATCCGCACGCACATCAGCGCCTCTACGTCGAAGGCTTTCCCCATCACGTGCCACATCCCGCTTTGGTCAATGGATATCCCTTGCCACGCCTCCCCTTGGCAGCGGTTATGTTGCCCGGCAACGCGCCACCTACGTTGCCTCCGGCGCCCATTTCCAGCTGTTCACCCCCTGTGGCTGCCGGTGCTCAACCACTCAGCAATACCACACTCGCACCACCTCAGAGTCAGCCCAAGAAATCCTTCTGTATCGATGCCCTGCTGGCCAAGAATCAGTCGGTCGAGAAACATCACCAGCCCCCGGTCGAGGATATGATCGTGGATGATCGTCTCGCCGCCCTGCATTATGCCCGAGATCAGGCGGAGCTCAACCACGCCTTTGTGGCGGCTTCGAATGCGGCCGCCGCAGCAGCTGCTGTCGGCATGAGCGATCATGAGGCGTTGCAGCGTATACGCGATTCCAGGGAATACGATTCGCCCAGTCCCGACGGCATGTCAAGGTAGGTGCTAAGCTATATCTTGCAATGGTCACATTGGTAAATAATTTGCAACATTACTTCACGCAAAAAGCCTTATCAGAGTTCGTGTACAAATTGTTTGCCTATCTGACCTAATCTAAAAAGTTTTATTTTGATATTTTGGCTTCGGGTTTTTTACTAGAACCATATTAATATTGATAAGAAGTTATGTTTTGCAATGGTCAGATTGGCAAACAATTTGCACACAAACATGATAAAACTTATTAGCTCTTTTATATGAATAAAGATACGCTTTTACAAGTATTATAAAATATCCAGCTAGGAACGAGTTAGTACAAGTTTGTGTACAAATTGTTTGCCTGTCTGACCTAATCTCCAGTCTTTTAAGTATTTTGGACATAGGTTCGGTTTTAGTAATTTGTTGCGTCTCTAAAACTTTATGATCATTTCGTTAAATGAGGAGGTATTTAGTTATATTTTATTGAGTCGTATATTAAATATATAATATTCGATATTCAAATGATCTCAGAATTTTTAGACTCTACTTGATATACATACTTAACAAATATAATTTGATTTTATCAGTCTTTTGAGAACCCCAAAAACGAAAACATTTTTTGTAACTTTTATTAGATAGGACTTATTCTAGATAGAAAATTAGAATAACAAGACATAGAAATCAAACGCACTATCTGGAAATCAATCACCCTTTCCTTTTTGAGATTTTAAATATAAATATGCTTTAAATATTACCATGAAAAATAATCGATTTAGAAAAAAAATATGAACAGCTTTGAAAAATATTTTTATTGCAGCCCAAATACTGCAATAATATAATAAGAACTTAGCTGATTTATGATTAAATTAAAACTATAACTTTCTTAATAAAATTTAGTAACTATGATCTTACTTATAAGCTTAAAGAAAAATAAATTTTAAAACATTTTATCTTCAAATTTGTTATCAGTGTTGGTTAGATATGCCAACAGACCACTTATTCTGATTCTCCATAAAAGTTAAATATGTACTTCAAAAATTAAAGAAAATACAAGGAATTTCTGAAAGAGTTAAAAGAAAGTATATTAGGACTATTTCCCCTCAGGATTTCGGTAAAATGATGACTCAAAATGCTAAAAAAAGAGCAATTCTTTATTTCACTGTGATATTTCTGTTATATTTTTTATTTGTTAAAATATTTAAAAACTAAGTCCAAAACAACAAAACATTAAAAATATAAAAAATGTGTATATATTTTTTTCCTTCTACAAACAAAATGTTTGAAGCTTAAAAGAAATAAACCTATACCAACAACAACAGCCATATTTCAAACCACTTGAAACCATTTTAATTTTTGTGCTATGAGAAGAACTAGAACTTTAATTTTTGACATGTTCATACATGTTTACTTCACAAAACTTCCTAATTTCAATTGGAGCTTTAACCATACGCTGGCAAATAATTCAAATTCAATTCAAACTAATAACACCTTTTTATACTAAATTAGTTATTATTATCGATAGCAATTAGAATATAAATAAATACTTATTAATTTATCAACCTTTTTTTGCAATTTTTTCAAATTCCTCAACTGCCTTTCGTCCACACAATTAAATGATTAAATAATGCCCCCAAATCCAAATGCGCAGAGTTAAATCCTTTAAAAGCCCATATAGAAATGCCGAACACGGGCTGTTGAAATGCCCGTAGATTTCCAAACACTTGACCATATGCCCCAAAAGCCTCTATACAAAGCAAAAAGGGATTTAGCCACATAACGTATACGCACCGTGTGCTAATTTCAAGTGCGCGACCATCGCAAAGCAAACAAATTAAGTGCAAAAATAGCAAAAATATAAAAAACAAATAACAAAATGTGGGTATATAAAAAATTGATTGCAAAAAACATGCGGACATTTAATTGCTTACAAAAATTATTACGCGTAACATTGCGAAGTTCAATTGGCGCTCAGTTGTTGTTTATTGAAGAGCTTAGATAATTGGCAATGGTGTGTGTGAATGTGTCTCTATTAATATAGGGTGTCTCGCTTACTGATCTTACAGATCTGAATCTCCCAGCTCATCGCATCGCTCCAGTCCGCCCATAAGTCCCGGCTGCGAGGATCAACAGCCCCAGCATCCACACCATCCACAACATCTGAGCATGCGGATGTCCGATCTGCACGATGAGTTCAAGAAGCCCGTACCCCCACATAGTCCGATTAGGCCACAGGACTTCCCGCTTTATGCTGGCGGTCATCCGTATCAGTTGCTGGCACAGGGTGGTTCAGCATTTCACAGACCGCTGGATCCCTCGGGAAAACCCATACCGGTGAGTAAAAAAAAATGCACTGTTCTGAAAATTCCAGCAAGTCTGATTTCCTCTGCTTCGAAACAGCTGCCCATGGGCCACAATTTTATGCCATCGCAGCTGCAGTTTGAGTTTCTGGCACGGGCTGGCATGCTGCATCATCGCATACCCGAACTGGCCGCCTATCCGCACCATGCCATATTAGGTAAGACCCGTCGTCCCCGCACCGCCTTCACCTCCCAGCAGCTGCTCGAACTGGAGAAACAATTCAAGCAAAACAAATATTTGTCGCGACCCAAGCGCTTCGAGGTGGCCAGCGGGCTGATGTTGTCCGAAACGCAGGTGAAGATCTGGTTCCAGAATCGACGCATGAAATGGAAACGCTCCAAGAAGGCACAACAGGAGGCCAAGGAGCGGGCCAAGCAACAACAACAACAACAGCAACAACAGCAAAACTCAAATGCCTCCAACGTCGCCGCCAACTCAGCCAGTTAGTCGATTTAGGCGTTTGGAGCCACGAATATCTAGTCATGAACTCTACTGCTTTGTCTTCTTCTTATTCGAACAACCGTCCCTCTGCCCCCACGCTCCACCACTCCGCCACTCCACCACTCCAGGGCTCAACAATATTGGGTCTTCATTTGATGAGATTGCGCAAAATTAGCCGCGATTTTGTTTACTTTGGCAATTAGTTGAAATTTTCGTTTTGATTTTTGTCCAGCCTTTGAGCGACGTGTGGGAAATGTTTTTGCGGGCAACAAGCAACAACAACTCTAGTTACAACAACAACAACAAAAACAACATGAGCGACAACAACAAAACGCAATGTGTGATATTTGTAAACAAGAAATATAAAATTCAATGGCAACACAAAAGTATTTTCCGAATGTACATAAATTTTGAATTACATTTAAAATAAATGAGATTAGTTTTTAGTTGTGTGCCATGTGTGTGTGTGTGTGTGTGCTCATATTTGTGAGTGAGTGTGTATGTGTGTGTGTGTGTGTGTGAGTGTGTGCCGAACGACATGCATTTTGCGTAATTCTTCATGTAATTGTGTAAATATTTGTAATTATGTAACTCGAGCGATGCATGTTTGTAGCAATTTGGCAATTTGTAGTAAATTTAATTGAATTTATTTTGGGTAACCAACAATAAAATGCGCTGTAAAAATACATACATATGTCGACAATTAATTACTGGCAGCAAAGATTGCAAATGGGCTTTCGGCAAGTAAGTATATATTGGGGGAAAATCGAATCTAAAGGATACATTTTACTCTTAATTGAGTTAGTTTTTTAAATTGTTTCATTGAATTTAAGTAGGAATATACTGCTGTCCGTTGCTTTTATTTCAATTAAAACCACTGAGTTTCAAGAGCTGGAATTTTAAAATTAAATTAAATTTGTATTCACTGTAAGAAAAAAATATTGGTAGTTCTATATTAGGACTAATTTGGTTCACAATTCTATCAGCAGTGTATCAAATATTTTCAATTTTCCTTCTAAGATTTTTAACTAACACATTTACAACCAATGATATCAGCTATAATTATATAGCAAATATTTAAAATATACCTGGAAGCAATGCTATGCCGTCTTCACACCAATTATTTGACTTCACTTTACATCAATATTGATAATTGTTTGAAAAATGATGATCAGAATTTCTAAAGAACTTTCGTGACTTGTTATTTATAGGACAATAATTATTACTCTTTTATGAATCTTGCAGGGGAAATTTCTTGCAATCCTCGTCTCTATTATTTTTAACCACGGGTCATTGATTTGACTTTCTCAGCATTTACTATGGTTGTGCTCTTTTACAATGTTAATCTTCAGGTTTTTTATCAAACCATTTAACCTCTGGTGCTGCCTAACAGTATTATTTTGATGACTTCTTAGGAGTATTCAGAACTATCTTATAACCGGTTCTGCTTAATCAACACTAACACTATTCAGCACTGTGTTTTGTCCCCTATGTTTAAATCTATAATTTTCTGTCACCGTTGGCTCACCAAAAACCATCACTAAATACTTGTAATGACTGATTTTTATTTCTCACAAATATTCCCAAATACTTTAACAGAAATTGCAAAATAATATCTTACTACACTTATACCATCTTCCTCCCAAGATTATTGTGCACGAAATCCATATTAGCGTTAATAAACATAAACGTTATAAGTACTTTAGCATGATTATAAATGTGAAATTTTTGTCTGGCTGATTACTAATCGATACATTTGATTACACTTATACACTTATACTTAAAACTTAGAAACCGATTACTAATGAGGATTTTTCATTTCTTATCAAAAATTTGTGCTTTTATGCGAACTTCTTTCAATTTTATTTCATAGTTTCACTTCTTAAACGCTGAAGTGAACTTAAAACGATATCCTCCACTGGTAATCAGTGTGTCTTAATTAAAGAGCCCCTAAATCTTCAAACTACGCACAACAAGATTTATTAATAAATTTAATCGACCCAATTATCCGCTGATACTAAGACATTGATAGTCGCGTGATATAAACTTTGAGTCGGTCGTCAGGCACCTGCCTCCTACCATTATTTATAGGACAGCAAGAAAACCCCAAAATATCTAATCACATGCTGCTTTCTAGAGCTATCTGTGGCCAAAACTACATACACTCGCATTTATTAAGCCATTCAACTAAGCACTCTGTCCAATACGATTCCACTACGATTTTTCAATTTTATTGAACCAGCAGATAAGGGCTATCATTTGAAATAAATCAAACGCGCGCAGATAATCAATTTAATTGCCTGGCCCATAATTATGGCTATATTTATATTTGACACTTAAAAACAGTTTCTCTAATTAAAATGTCAGCGAATTAGACATTCTCGTTGCCTTTCTATCTGAAATCGCAAACGTGCTAAGCCTCCATTTCCGCAGCAAATTGATTGAACGGATTTATCGGAACAGCAAAGTGTGCCGTCTAATCGAAAGCAAGTAGGCGTGATTTAGTTGCCATTAATAAAACTGATATACTATATTACAAAAATATTTTCTTTCCTAATCATGTCGTCTAAGACCGTGAAAGTAAAGCAAAAGCAGCAGCGTCGTGAGCGTCTGAAGGGCTGCTGGACCATTTGGCACATCGATAATTGCGTGAATAGAATTTTGGAGCAACGCTTAACTGAAATTGCCAGCTTTAACAAGTCACAGGAGTTTCATGAGTAAGTACGGATCGAATATACGAATTGAAGAACATCTGTCATTGAAGACTTTTGGCAGCATTTTCAATGCCTTACCAAGTCCGCTAAAGCTCGATGTTGGTGATGATTATGCGGTCTATCGCAAGGGGCTCACGTAAGTATGGTTTCTTTTACTAGAGATGGACGTAGTCCGCCTAATACTTAAATAGCTGGGAGCTAATGAAAAATCAGACCTCTCTCCATACGATAGGTATGGATATAAACATATCTATACTTGTAATTTATGATTTTTGTAATGCAGGTGATTGTTATAATGAACAGATTGGTGTGGCATCATTCATAATTAGGAAATACTAAATTTGATTGTGGTATCAGTTTATGGTTTTGAAAGTTATGTATTTTCCTGTCAATCAATGCTATGGCACCGATTTTGATGAAGCTGAAATACTATACAAGAGACATGATAGAATAATAAATATAAATATCTTTAGTATAGAGTATTCCTTTGACAGCTATATAAAAAAGTGATGCTATGTAAGTATTTTTTTCTAAGAAATTAAGCTACAGATAAGCTAGCTAAGTCATCATAGAAAGTTTGATGTTTCTAGGTATTTTAGTTTAAATGATAGCGATGTTCATACAGACGGACATACACAAAAGAAAACATCGCTATTTCGAGTCGTTTTGTCACGCTTGCTCATGCATGTATGTCAGCTATTAAGTACTTGTTTAAAGCTGACCACCTCCTAACACTTAACGAAACCATTTTGATAATAACACTCCCTTTACAGACCTCTCGCAATAGAGAATTCCAATAGCGGTCAATGGGAACTGGTGCCTGAAAGTAATAGCGCTTTCAATTTAGAGCTATTTTGGGAATGCATTGTAAATCTTATCTACGTATATATTAAACCATATATAATAATTAATAGCCTCTCACACAGAATCAAATGATTGTCTATGAGTTTTTCGATCACAGTGAACTGATAGGTGGTGTGGTTATACAACGGCGCTCTGAGAAAAACAGCATACGTAAGTTACAATTGGAAAACTCTTGGTGCTACTCTAACTACCGACTTACCAGTAATCTGGCTTCTCGATGGACGTCAGTCGAGCTCTGTGCTGAAAATTGGTTATAAGCTTAAAGAAAAGGCCCCCATTGGCTGCACTCTTCACTACACACAGCACGAGCACATGATCTGGTCCGGTAGTGCTGCATTACCCATCTATAGCCTCTGATACCATACATTTGTACCAAGAATTGTGGATTGATTCTGAAGAGATTAGTGAGATGTTGGGTGTGCAAACACAATTGGGTACATGGGATTATAATCAAAATGAAATAAGTGTGAAATAAACTACAACTACTCCGATTCAACCGGCCTCGCGAACGACCTCCGTCGATCTGTTGTTGGGAACAAGTATTGCCACTTTATCACGTAATTCTCAAGTGGTTGTCTCAGCCTCCGCCTCAGTTCCTCAACTATAGTCTTATTGAGGTGACGGCGCGGAGTCTGTTCGTGTGCGTTAGAAAAATAAAACTCGCATTTGTTGATGGAACTTTGGTTTTTGGGGTGCCACGAAGTATGCTCTATATTGTTATTATTGCTTGTTTGATACGCCGTTCTTGTTATTGTTCCTAGTGTTATTGTAATGCAGCAGTTCTGTGTACACACACATCTCTTATTGTTGTTGCCGTCGTTGATTATGCGCCTGATGAGCTAATAAAAATTCATTTGTTTGTTAGCTGCAGACACGTAACGTAAGAGTACGACTCCATAAATGACAGGGAGGAACTCGATATCAATAAAAGGAGGGAATGAATGAAAACCAATGGCACAGTGGATTACAGTAGATTTCGATATGACGCGCTCTTCTTGTTATACTATATTTTGCTATTTCTAAAGACCAATTGAAAAGCAAGTTAAACATTTATATGAATATCTGCTTTATGGACAGATATTGATAAAACAAATACAATTCCTTAGGAAATAGGTATTTTTATAAAAAAAAAAACAAAAAACTTTAGCCGTTTTTCAGCATTTGATGATGAGATGCAAATTCTTTAGAATTCAAGCGTAAAATATTAAAATTCATAATAAGTGCAAGACTAAATGCCAAAGTTATATAATGCTGCCAACATAATATAAATCAATCAACCATTTCAATACTCTTGCCAAAAATGATATTCCTAAATGCTTGTATATTATTGACAATTCTCTTATAAAATAACTTTTCTTTGAAAGTGAAGAATATTCTAATAGGTGTTTACTAACTGTATTCACTCCCTCCCAGAACAAATTATTCGCATTCGAAAACATTATACCAAAGGGCTATTGGAAAATCAAACCACACTTTAATGAGTAGAAGCTTTAATTTAAACTTATCGGCCACATTATAGCGGAAAAGTCAAGCGCAACCTAACTCTCATTTAGTAGTTCAGCTTATTTTTGTTTCGTAACCTCTAATTAATTTATTTTCATTTGATAAAATATTTATACTCTCGTAGTATCAACTTCAATATATTTACGTAATAATTTGAATTATATTTTCCACTTTATATAAGTCACAAAAAAACTTCTTTAAAACGTTTATTTGAAAAAAAAAACATATTAAAATTAAATAAAAACCAAAAAAAATTGTGCATATTAATTTCGTCGTCTTCATATGCGATCAAAATAATTAAAATTGTAATTTTTAAGTTTAATTGTTCTTTATCAAAATTCTTCTATTTTAAAATTCGAGAAACCCTGGAAACAATTTTTTCTTTAAAATATTCGAATAATAAACCCTGATCTAAGCAAAATCGTTATTGATAACGAGTTTTGGGAGTATTTTAACATAACCCTTTTTCATAAAAAATCAGACATTTTTCCTTATTACAGAATAGTAGAAATATAAATTTTTTAAAAATATAAAATTTAATATAAAATTAGAGATTGTTGCTTTTTAAAAAATAGTAGAAACATAAGTTTAAAAAAATATAAATAAAAATGAAAATTGTTTAATTGTTTAACAAACGATTTCCTTTATATAAAAAATATATTTACCTTGAGACAGGGTCAAATTTTCTCTTGTTTCAAAAAAAGTATTTTAAATAAATTTTGAAAGAAATAAAAAATATACATACTCTGCGTCAGAGTAGAACTTTTTCTCATTACAAAAAAAAACTTTATAAATAAATTTTAAAAGAAATATAAAATATATTTACCTTGAGTCAGCGTAAAATTTTCTCTTGTTACAAAAAAAAAAATATTATAAATAAAATTTGAAAGAAATAAAAAATATGTTTAATCTGTCTGAGTAGAACTCTTTTTTGTTACAAAAAAAAAGTATTATAAATAAATTTTGAAGGAAACAAATTTCCAGGACAGTGCAGTTCAAACGAACTGATTCAATGAACCGGAAAAGGCATTACTCTAACGTGCATTGAACCTTGAGTTAACAACAAACTGAACGCTCAACCACTGTGCAAGGCGGTGACTGCGACTGTGGCCTTATTATCTGCTGATGCTGCGCTATTTTGATTTGCCTTGAAGTGGCCAAGTGTTGAACCAGAACCAGATAAAGGATGTCAGCTCGACAGCTCGCTGGGTAATTCAATTCATGAGCTATTAGCGGGTAATTTGTAACAATTGCACAGCATTTTTTTTTTTTTTTTTTTTGAAACGCCCAAAAGGGTGACAAAGTTCAGAAGGACAGAGAGACGAACAATCCAGCCGAGCAAGGTATTGTTAATTGTTGGATGCTGTTGCTGTTGCTGGTACTATTGTTGTTGTTGTTTTTGCTGGTGATTGTCGTCGCATCTGTTGCAAATTAAATTTGAGTTATAATTTATATAAACAGCAACAGACAATAGCCACAGGAGCAATGAATGGCAAGCAGCCCCAGCAAATTGGCATTTAAAATTGCTCAAAGGGTCGTTTGCCAGAGCTACCCTCTGACTTTCCTGTAGCTGTAGCTGTAGCTGTTGTTGTTGTTGTTGTCGCTATTGTTGCTGGTGTTACAATTTGGTTACCCCAGTTTACCCTCGAGGCTTGAGCTACGGCTAAGGCTCAGGACGTTGATCTTCATGTCAACACAGATGATCACATTTTATGCTTAATTTTGTGTGTTTGCTTTTTGGCTCTCTGGCCATTAGTTTTGCATGTTTCGATATCGCTAATATGTACATATATCCATAGATTTTGCACATTTTCGTTGCATTTTTCGCTCCGATTTCACTGTCAATATGTGCGATTATTGTCATATGTTGCATTTTATTGCCAAATTTCGGAAAATTTCGCATTTCCTCATTGTGGAGCGCGGCTCGTTAGTTAACCCAATACTAGCTAATGGCCCTTTATTGCTATTTGGTCGGGGGTTGAGCGGACATAACGTGGATATATGTTTGTATTTGTGCAATTGATTGTCTGCGGCAATGGCTTGATAAATTCTGTGATTGATGCTAATTGTAGAGCTGGCGCGAATTACAGTAAAGGAACTATTTTTTTTTGATAAATTAAATGTGTGTTTGTTTTTTTACAGATCCCAGAGATACATACTTGTATATGATTAATTGTACGTCTGCTCGACTGCATGCTCATCCAAAGCTTTCAAGCCACAAAAGCAAGTTTATAATCTAAATATTTTATATAGCAAGTGGTTCATATAATGTTCTCAAGTCTCAATAAAATTGTTGCTCTATATCATATGCAAGACAGATACAGTCAACGGAGTACAAGTAATTGAAACAAAGTTAGTTTCAGTTCATTGTTTGGATCGTGGAAAGCGTTTGGTAAAGAGTAGTCAAGAGTCTGTTGTTTATTTATAAAATAAAGCTAATTATTTACAAAGTATATCTGAAAGTGTGCACTTAAAAGGGCCTTTAAAATAGTGTTGAATTATAGTATTGAATAATAGTATCAAATAATAGTATTGATTAATTAATTAATTATAATAATATAATAATTGTACAAATAATGGTTTTTAAGACAGAAAGCAGATCTGGAGTGGCTTTTATTAGAGATTGACCAAAAGATGAAAAATATTATAAATTTGTTTAATTTACATTTAAATTTTAAGTATTCTTTTGCAATCTCTCATTATTCAAGGGTGCACTAACAAGCGGCTTTAAAATAGTATAGAAAACAAACTGTTGACATTTTTGAGCTCTAATTATGAAATTGTGGTTTTTGTTTACCAACATTGCAAATTACACCAACAATAGCTACAGTTTTTGAGTATTATTTTGAGTGTTGTAAAGTAATTTGTAATGCTCTGCGGCAAAGGAGGAACAGTTTTGCGTGTAACTTAAAGCTCTGTTCACCTCTGTTTTAAGAACGCTGCTTCCACCAACCTGCTGCCTTCAAACTTAAACAAATGCCAGCACAGTTTGGAAAAAACAGAGCAGACACACACACACACACTCACATACTTGTATATGCACGTCTCCCCCCCACTCACAGTTAAATTTGCTAATTAACTCAACATAAGGTTTTCTAATTTCATTTAACGCACAACTCCGACAAGGAGGCTGGCAGCGGCAACGGTTCACCCGCACCAGCAGCCCAGCATCCCAGCACCCTTGCCGAAGGAACCCCTGCTGGAGTTAGTCAGTAAGTGTGTGCGTGTGTGTGTGTGTGTGAGTGAGTGAGTAAGTCTACTCGTCCGTATCATTAGCCTCCGGGGATGATTTGTTGTTTGGCAGCACTTGATCAACGCGGCAATGAATTCAATTAGCACCAGAACACCAAAGAGCAGAGTTAGAGACGCAATCGGACCCGGACCCAGAATCGGAGTCGGAGTCAGAGTCAGTCTGGTCTGGCCTGGTCTGGTCTGCTGTTTGTTGCCCTGGGGGGAGGGGTGGTGTGGCCTGCACTTGATGCAGAGAGACACCACACCCCCAGCATTAGGAAATGTCAGTTGTCGGAACGCTTTGGCTGCTCAATTGTTTGGATTACTTTTCTGGTGAATTATTGCGTGTTGACGCATATGGTGACAATTTGGCATTGTCCGCAGCCCTGGCAGTATGTTGGGTGGTGTTTGGTCCCTGGAGCTCTAATGCGCTTAGGCACGATTCGTGCAGGACCAGCGACAATTAGCGTTGATATTCCAGAATTTTGATTGCAGAATTTCCTAACGATTAAATCGAAATCATTTGACAAAAGTTTCTCTCAACATTTTCCGCACAATTCAATTGTTTGGAGTCGTAGTATCTGGGTCTCTGTGTGTGTGTGTGTGTTTAGTACGTTAATGGCTCATGTGCCGGCTCATCATCGAGCTCCGATGTCCAGTCCATGGCACTTTTGTTTACTCAGCGCGTACGCACGGATTTTCATCCATAGATTGATGGCTCGACTGCTGATTGCATAGCACAGCTGTATG